GTGAGGTGTTCACAGACTTTTGGACCATAATTTTAACTACCTAGGTGCCTCCTACCTGAGAGTACCCTTTTCTTACGGTTCAGTAGGGGGAGATCGAGTATCACAATTGAATGATTCCTTGGCTTTTGGCCCTTTTTTACGGTCAGGAAGCTGCGGAATAGCTTGGTTCCTCCGTCCCCTGTTACGGCGAATGTCAGGTGCTTTGCTTTGCTTTGCTTTGCTTTGCCTTGCTTTGCTTTTCTTGACTCTACCTGCTAAGGTACTTTCCCTTACTCCGTACCTATGACCTATCTCGTAAAATAGGTAGTCTGCCTCGCCACTTGTTCCCATCAACAACTACCAGCATTGTTAGTGTTAACACGGACGGACTATCCCCTCCCGTCCCCACGATTTGTCTGTCGATCGCATCATCACCCATTCAATTCATATCGACATTTATAACCATCACCTCTCAACTTGCAGAGAACGCCCTCGCGACCGTTGCAATAGCTTCAACCTGTTCGAGAGACCCGAGCGCATTATTCCCATCATATCCATTACCGACTTGGCCCCACGAATCATGCAATAGCACCCCCGATCCCGCCCCTTAGAAGATGCGAAAAGTTCGGCCTGCCATTAAACTCCCGAATGTCCGTTTCGAACGTCGTTATCTGGCCGTCCATACTTGAAGTGGCCTGAATATCATACTTGGATACATTCAGAGCGATTCCTGTCAGCCCGTTAAACTCCCATAATTAACACATCATGACTCGAAGAATTGTATGTGGCCCATGTTCTCTATGAATTCATGATCAGTATTGATCCAGAGGAGGCTGTTGACTAACATATTCCCATCACTAGGTTCGAACAGCTGCTCAGCTCGCTGGCGCTGCCATTTTCACCTTTCTAGTTATCGCCTTTCTCGACCGCAATTATCGTGTCCTTCCCAATTCGATCCATAGTTATATGCCCTCCCATCACCCCGGGCTGGTCGTCACCGATGTCACAATAGTCACTTGCTCGAGCGTTAACCCCTTCTCCTCGTGTGACCTCGGCAAAGAATGGCACCGGATCGATAAGGAGCTCTATCTCGGCAAGACATGGACAACGAGCGCATACATGTATATTATGCGAAAGCATGAAGGGGATCTTACTGCGGATGATCGTGTTGTTGTGGATATTGCGGTCGGCAGGCTCCAACCTCAGCCCAAGGGAGAAACGGACGACCCATGGGAATCTCGTCCATCAGGTATCTGGATCAAGCGCTCAGCCAAGAAGAAAGCCAGCGATTCGAAGCAGGCGGTGACGGATCTTGATGTTCTTTTCGGAGATGATGCTGTTGAGGCAAGAGACGGATATGCTGTGACGGGAACACCTTTGCTCCTCAACACGGGTGGTAGCCTTCTCTCTGTCCAGCTAAGCGTGCGCCGAGGTCCTCCACGAGAGGTCAAGAAGCCAACGCCCAGGATCAACAGTGATGGCCGATACAAGATCATGCAGATCGGTGATCTGCATCTCAGTACAGGAGTCGGCGTTTGTCGCGAGGCAGTTCCTGATTCCTATAACGGTGGTAAATGCGAGGCCGATCCCAGGACACTGGAGTTCATTAGCCGAGTCCTTGACGACGAGAAGCCCGATCTGGTAGTCTTGAGTGGCGACCAAGTCAACGGTGACACAGCACCAGATGCACCTACAGTGAGTATTGCCTGGCTCAGCATTTTAGTGTTCGTCTCTAACACTATCTAGGCCATGTTCAAGATCATCTCCCTCCTGATTGAGCGAAGAATCCCTTACGCTGCCATATTCGGTAACCACGACGATGAACAAACCATGTCTCGTGAGGCTCAAATGGCCATTATGGAGACGCTTCCTTATTCTCTCTCCATTGCTGGGCCAGCTGATATCGAGGGTGTTGGGAATTACTATATCGAAGTCTTGGCCCGTGGAAAGACGGATCATTCTGCTCTGACCATCTATCTTCTCGATACGCACGCCTACTCGCCCGATGAGCGCAACTTTCCCGGTTACGACTGGGTTAAACCTAACCAGATAGAATGGTTCAAGAAGACTGCTGCTGGTCTCAAGAAGAATCACAACGAGTTCACTGGCAGGCACATGGACATCGCTTTCATTCATATTCCCTTGACAGAGTATGCTAACCCGGAACTACCCCGTGTTGGCGACTGGAAAGAAGGAGTCACTGCTCCAATATATAACTCTGGTTTCCGCGATGCCCTTGTAGAGCAGGGTGTCCTTATGGTCAGCGCAGGACAGTAAGTTTTGGATCCCCATCTTATCTTGAAAAATACTAAGTGATATTTTAGTGATCACTGCAATGACTACTGTTCCCTATCTCTTATGGGTGAAGGCGAGGCCAAGGTCCCAGCCATGTGGATGTGCTACGCTGGCGGTTCTGGTTTTGGCGGTTACGCCGGCTACGGTGGTTACCATCGCCGAGTACGCTTGTTTGAAGTCGATATAAACGAAGCTCGTATCAAGACTTGGAAACGTCTAGAGTACGGAGACATAGCTGGCCGGATACACCAACAGATTATCGTCGATGGCGGTAAACCTCAACCTATCACTCCCATTTCATGAGCTTACGACACTCTACATTTTCGGGACAAAGTCCCTCTTCTGAACTTATTGTTTTTCGTGTTTTGGGATGATCAGCTGCCACGCGTCTATAGAACGCTGTGGTCCTTTCTCGTTTACAAAAAGATACGGGTCATGGGACCGCATCAAGGAGCATGTTTGAACAGGGGGTTTCTTGTATAACAATTAAAATATCCCACCTCTCATTGCATACAACAGCAAACAGAGTTAACGACGGCATTACATAGTCTCGGGATGGGGAACGGAGTTGTTTTGGTCGACTAAATACTACGTATGAGTCTTGAACTCATTTTCATGCTTTATTCTATATCAGTCTTTCACAGTATTGTGATTCATGATGATTTCGGCTTAAGTGGTAGCAAGCAGCTCTAAGTCTGAAGTTGATAATACCTTTTAATTTCTTGAACAGTTCACATCGGACAGAGTTATCTAAATATGATTCAATTGTCATCGACTATATACTTCTCTCCTCGCTATGCTCTCTTCGCTCCCCCTACCGTGTTCACCGAAAACAAAGCTGCATACGTACTCCTCATGGTGATTTGCAAAATGAATGCTGATGTACTCCTCCCGGCCCAAGACTTCTCCAGTAGCCCAGACCATTGTCATCGAGACGCCATCCGCCCATGTCTAGATGCGTGAACGCAGAAACAAGGTTGGTATATACAATCGTATTAAAAGGTTCGAGGAAATGTGGTATCGTTAAGTCTCGCCGCATGCCATGCATCGAGAGTAATAAGAACAAACGTAAAGATGATGGTGTGCTGAGCAACACCGGGATATCAAAATAGGAAAATTGACTAATGTAATGAGTCTGGGGATGAGCCAGATTGCGAATGTGCTTGTAATCAAATACAAGAAAATGTATAAACTGTTGAAGGGGGTGGCAGCAGAGTCGCTTAGATTGTCATGACCTCCTGGTGGACAAGCCTCAGAACCCAGCTTGCCTCTGCAACGCTGGCGCACTGGAAGCACCACTTCTTGACGTTGCCACCTGTAGGGCCCGTAGCCGGAACAACGCCAACAACGCCATTGCTGTCCTTCATCTCTTCCCAGACACCGCATACAATACCACGGCTGCCCATGGCTGTGAAGCATCCACTGCCCAGGACAGCGTCTAACAAAATCTTTGGCTTCTCTGAGTCCTTGCGCGGAATCGTGGTGACAGTGACACGTTTCTCCAGACCGTGGTCGGCACGAAGAGCCTGGTGCCAGCCAGGAGGAGGTCGCCGAATGGATAGTCTGCAGTTGCCAAAGTCCTCCCACTTGGCGGCTGCGACGAGGAGATGTAGGCGGATCTTAAGGTCTTCAGTGCCAAAGCTTACGGGGCCACGACCGCTGTTCTCAACACTGATGGAAGGCGAGCGAGGTGTGTTGCCGCCATAAGATGAGGATCCAGGAGTGTTGGTGCCACCATAGCGGCTGTTTCGGTTAACAGAGGAGCGAGCCAGACTGAAAGGAAGTCCGCGACCAGTGAGTCTCTTGAGGAAGCTTGACGCAGAGAGAGTAGATGAGGGAGTAGTGCTTGCACCATCATGAGATTGGGCAGGCGCACGAACTGAACCACGGTAGCTGTTCTTACGGCCGAACCAGCTGCGTCGTCGGCGACTGCTTGTGTCATCGTTGTCGAAAGGTGGTTTATGTTCACCAAAGCTTCTGAAACGTGCTTCATTCTCAAGTTCAATGAACTTTTGGTTGTTGAGACGAGCGTGGTGAACTGACATGTAAAGGTTGTAGCAATCAGGTCCGTTGTGGCATCGGAAGCGGAAGTTTCCTCCACCGTGTGAGCTGGCAAGCTGACAGTCAGATCGGACTGACGAGCGGATTTCAAGGTCGAGAGCTGTACTCTGGCGGATGAGGACGAGTGGGGTGAGGTCGAGTGCGAGCATGGGCTTGTCTCCCTGCTCGGCTCCGCTATGTACGACATACGCTTCGATTAACCCTGGAGTGACGATGACTTCGAGGTTGCCCCCAGAAATGTCCTTCCACAATCCCTTGTCGGACCACCTGGAAATAGTAGCCACGTATCTTGTAGCATTGTCTTCGGGGGCAACCTTTTGTCCATGGAGGCCAGCCTGGGAGGCCGAGTTTGATGGAGCCAGGCTATCAATTGAGCCAGATACGACGGATTCATGAAGTTCGTGTCGTTGGTGGTAATCGTGAAGAGATCCTTCCTCTTCGAGTGTCTCAAGTTGCTGTTCCAACTCCTCTCTGATAATGTCTCGAGCTGGGTGTTCACCTCTGATACTAACTCCTAGCTCAGTCTCTGGAAGATCAACGCTCTCGATATCGTCGTCCGAGGAATCATAGCTGTAGTCTGATTCGGTGTAATCATCCTCGGTATTTTCGTAGCTGCCTGTGATATCAGTGCCAGAAATTGAGGACTGGTCTGAAGGTAGGTATTCGTGCTTGAGCGGAGATGAGGTTCGGCGTTTGACGCGGCTGCTGTTGGGAGGCTCAAGAGGAGGTAGTTTGGAAAATCTGGGCTTCGAAGGAGCTTGCTGACTAGGGCTGGGGCTAAAAGTTCGATGAGCTGGAGGTGGCGGCGCGCCATCGTCTCTGTAGGATGAACTACTTGGGCTCTTGCGTATGTTGAGAGGATCAGGCTGCATGCTTTGCGAGGTCATTGGTCTATCATCATATCCGTAGTCGTGTTGTGTTGGAGTCCTCTGCAGATCGTACTGATCGGGCGACTTGATAGGAGGAGGAGTTACTGGAGATGCTGATCGTGGACGGTATCTGGCTGGCAGCGCTCGCTTCGGTGTAGTTGGGCTGGCTGGGGGAGACTCAGCAGCAGATGAGCGGCGAGAGTGTGAGTTCCGAAGAGACTGGGCAGAATACTTGCGAGAGGACCCTCGGACGCCAACTGGGACATCAGGCATCCGAGATTGTGAGTATGGCTCTTCATCGTCGATTATACTTGGCTCTGGCTCTCTGGGAGGAACAGGTGAAACTGGAAGGATATCGAGCCAGTCCAAAATTTGGTCTTCGTTGTCAGTGGTGAGTGTGAGTAGCTCGTGCCATGGCCTGTCGTTGTGCGTTCCTCGAATCATAACCACCATGTCAAAGTTGCCGTCTCCTGTCCTGGCTGAGATCAATTCAATAGGTACAGGAGGGAATAGAAGGTAGGATCGACCCTTGACCCCATTTTCGCGGATCAGGATATCACCCTTATCTTCAGGATAACGCTGGTTATCCCGGTGCACCAACTCAATCTGGCACTCAAGGCGCTGGCCATTGGAATGTGCCAAGTCGAGAGAGAAGAAGTCCTTGGCGCTGACTTGTCGTGATGGCTCAATGTACACAGCCTCCATTGGAGCAAGTGTTCGAAGGTCTCGCGATCTGGTTGTATCGGTATTGATCGCGTCTTCGTCAGTCAATCGAGCCATTTCTTCTCGATGTCGGCGGCGAGCCTTTTCTTGAAGGTCTTCAAAGTCACTCAGTAGATCATAAGTATCATTGGTCCCAAGGATAGAGTCGACACACTTGAAGAATTTTGTGATTTGCTTAAGTCGAAGGAGGGGCCTCTTGAGAAGGTGTGCCACATCAACCCGCTCTCCTGTAGCATCAACAATATCCCCAGACTCATTCCTGGGCATGGCACCGACAAGAGAATCCTCGTCTTCTGGGGATCCAGCGGCCGGGGCAAGATTAACGACGAGATCCTGGAAGCCCAGCCTCCAGGCATCGAGGTACTTATGATATATGGGTACGACGCCATGGCCCCAGGAAGCCAGTCGACGAATATCATGAATGGGAGCCTTGCGGTGAGCCATGCGAAGTTTCTCTAGGGCAACACCCATGTTCACCACAGACTTGGAGAGAGCATCGGCTTTGGTGACTGGGGTGCTTGTGCCAAACAGATCAGTAGCATTGTCACCATTGACGACCTGTGATAGTAGGACTGGGATAACACCGTCGACCAGTGTCTTCAACTCTCTAAGATAGAGACTCTCGTCTTCGGTAAATTCTTTGAGCAGGTCGTCATTTGTCACATCTGTGGCCCCACCCCGAGTCTTCCGCATACTGGGTCTTGAGCGGTTACTTGTGATGGCACTGGGGATGTTCTTGTCATCAGGTAGCGAGAGGACTGAGACAAGATCAGAGTGACGAGTAAGCCGTCGCTTGAGGCCAGATCCTTGGCTCTTGGAATTCGAGCGAGAGTTCGAACGTCTCGTCTCTTTCGTTACGCCAGTGGATTGCGTAAGAGTGGATTGGGTGACATCAGTGGTAAGATCCGATTCGACAGCGCTGGAAGCTTCCTCAGAAAGAATTGTAGACAACTCATATTGACCTCGAGTTGGCGGTGGAAGACGTGGGCCCGCCATACGTGCCGACGGCAAAGCCGATCGGTCATCACGATTTTGTTCTGGTTCTCGCGCCGGTTCCCGAATCGGTTCCCGTGTTTGCTCTGGGTTTTGGGGCTTCTTCTTTTCTTCCAAGGGAGACGGGGATCTGACACTTCTCGACTTTTCAGTCTTTGATAGCTCTGTTTCAGTCCAATTTTCAGTCGAATCATCGTATGTAAGTTCGTCGTCATAACGAGACTCTTCGTAGTGATAATCATCATATTTTGACCCTTCGTATTTTGAGTCATCATAACGAGAATCACTGTATCTGGAATCGGTATACATGGATTCGGGCTGGTCATCGTAGGGTCGTTCCTCTCGACTCAGATAAGGCTTCACCTTGGGAAGAGAATTGCCTGATTCCCCAGTAAAGGCCTCCTTCAGCATCCCAAAGAGCGAATTCTTGGGGCTTGACTTGACAGGTGAAGATGTAGTTCGAGTTGCTTTGGTCCTCTTGAGGCCCAAACCACCCGGAGCTTTGGTTGGTGCTTTCGTATCTTGCCGCTTCGGTTTCGTCTTGGCTTCAGGCTCTGGCGAAGGAGCTGGTGAGGACAGCGGCGAGACCTGATCTGTTGCAGGCTCTTTCACAGCAGCCGGTTCGGGCTGTGGTTCAGGCTTGGGCTCTGATTTAGGTTTTGGGATTGACTTCTTCGGTGGCTCAGGTTCTGGGGAAGGCTCCTTGGCAGGTTGTCTGACAGGCCCGGGTTTCGGTACAGGTGATGATGTAGGTTTCTCTTTGATGGGTTCCTTCACGGGCTCCGGCGTAACGGGTAACTTTTCGCTCGATACAGTTCTGTCAGCTGTATCTGGTTTACTCATAGTTGAGGATGAAACCCTTCGTTTTTCGGTGCGAGACGAGCGGCGATGACTCTTGATCGTCTCAGGTGATGATGGCTTATCTGGGACATGCTCACTCAGAGGTGTTGTAGCTGGCTCAGCCTCGGGCTCCTCAACGAAGGGGTCAACCGTAGTGTTGAGCCACTTTTCAATACTTCGAGGGTTGTTTGGAACAGTATCTCTTGGGGGAGGATGCTCGTTCATCTCATGAATTATCTTGTTGGCGCCTTCCACCACCTTCTTGAAGACTTTGGGCATGGACTTGAAGCTGGTATTTCTTTCAGGCTTGGCAGGGCGAGCAGGGCGAATAGGTCGACTTCGAAGAGGTCCTCCACGCGCTCGCAGGGGCAGATCAAGTTCTGTGAATGCAGAGTTACCCCAGGGGATTTCTCCAGGGATGTCTGCTATAGACTTTGCCAAAATACTTGAAGACAGATCTGAGCCGTCAAGTTGAGAGGGCTCGATCGTAGATTCTTCTTCGGGCACCCACGTCTCTTTACCCTTCTGTTTTGTCGTGGGAGGCTGATAACTCTTTGGTCGAGGTTTTGACTTGTGTGCTGATACACTTCTCTTCTTGGTTGGAGTGTCAATTGCCGAATCGTCTTCCATAACTTCAATTGGTATAGTCCCAGATAAACGCGACTTGTCGGTTGTCTTTGTTGTCTTAGACAGTTCCGAGTCATCCTCGATGACCTCGATAAACTTGTTTGTCGATACCTCCGAAGGATCCTCAATGACTTCGATCTTGGATTTATCTGACTGCGACTTCTTCATTTCCCGTTTCACGGAACTCATACTAGGTCTCCGTGAGCTAGGAGCAGATTTGAGCCGCAATCTTGCCGTGCGAACCGATGTTCCGGCGTTGGATGAGATATCGCTCATAGGTCTAACTCTGATTCCTTCGTCATCGGTAAGTGCTGTCCTGACGGCTTTCACACGAATACCATCATCATTATTCCTTCCCCTTCGCATTGGTTTCACGCGAATGCCATCATCAGGCCCTGGTGTTGATTTGGCGGATCGCGCTTTTGTGAACCGACTGCTAGTGACATTGCTCACTGTAAATTCGCTGTCACTCATGAACTCGCTGTCGGTATCATCCATCCACGGTTTCGCTCCGACCGACTTGGAGGACTTGTGACTTCTGGGTGCAGGTGGATCTGGAATCTCGACCCTTTCTGCCCATGCCTTGACTCTGCTTGCGACGCGAGGATTGGCGGCGGTGCGCAAAACAAAATCTTTCGGTATTTTGGCCGGAGCAGGTGCTTTAGCAGGCGAGGTCTTCTTTGGTATATGTTTCCGATTTTTCCGCCAATGTTCGTCGCTAACAACACGTTTCTTAGGCGGTGGTTTCGCTGCTGCCGATGTAGGTGTAGTTGGAGTTTCATCAGGTGTAGCCTCATCCCCTGTGGCCAGGCTCTCCTTCGTCTTGTTATTGGGTCGCTTGAGTTTCTTCCTCATTTTGATGCGAACTCGATCCTCCTCTGTTACACTCTGGAACTCCTCATCTTCAAACGCGATATCAGGGGGCTCTGTCGCTGCGTCATCAGGGGTATTCTCCATAGCGGCAGCATTGGCCTTTTGCCATTTCTTGACACGATCTCGGACACCGTTCGGGGGTTGGATGCGCTTGACTTGAGACTGCTTCATTTCATGGCGCAATTCGGCCTTGACAGCTTCCAAGCTCATTCGCCGTTGACGCTCGGCAGCCTGTCGCGATGCTGAGGGCCGGCCCAGGAGGAAGTCGTGAAGGAGTGTAGGCTCTCTGGTCGACTTGGCACGCGGTCGCCCACGGTGTGCCACCGGCGGTGCTGACTTGGGCGTTTCATTTCCATCATTCTCGTCTTGTGCGGAAGGCTTCAGAGGAGTCTCGGGTTCAGGCTCAGGATCTAGCACTGCTTCCTCAGGAGAGGCGGGGTTTGATGATGACATGATCTCTGCTACCTAAAAAGACAAAACTGGTGAGCTTATTTTTGCAACCCAGTTGTGGCGGGGAACCATGATTGTGCGATGCGCCGGAGACGGGAGAGCACGTCAGACTCATACCTGAAGGTCGGTAACATGCTGTGCAGGTGTAGCAGAGAAGCGGTGGGGTCCCAGTCGAGGCCGAACTCGGTCTCTTGATGGCTGGCAACAATTTACTGTTCGAATCGATTATGCGTCGTTGAAATGTGCTATCGGACCGTCCGGGAAGCTTGCAGGAAGCTTTGGAGAAGCAGCGGGAGGGCGGAGCAGCCGTTGGAGTTGCACATGCAACTGAATAAGAAGAACGAACGAACGAATTAGATTGGATGGTGGGTAAATGAAATGTAGGAGAACGAAAGGGTTGTGATTACAAAGACAATGGCAAAAGCCTCGTGTAAATGATAGGAAGTGGAGGGTTCTCCAAAAGCGAAATGCACCGCAAGATTAAGATTGTTGTGCCATCCACGTCTCAAGCCGTTGGAGGGACCTTTTGGAGGTTGCGTCGTTGACCTTGGACTTGGCCATTATTGAGGTGCGGGTGTCCCAGTAACCAAATGGGATCCACACTAGAGCTCAGTGTAAACAACATTGGAGACCATCCCACCTATCAGGGTCAGGGGTAGAGGGATGTGGCGCTCGACTGACAGGGGACATTTCCAGGGCTTCAGTGGGTCAATCATTTAAGGCCATGGCTGCAGACGAGTGGGATATGGCGGGTGGCTGTTGCGTGATAGGCTAGCTCCTCTTCAGAGTCAATCAAGCCCACTGCAACAAAGTCCAAGCCTCCCGAGCCTGGCTGAATCCGATCTCCCGGTGCTACTGTATCTCGGCCAATTTTCTCCAACCGACTGCCGCTTTTCCTGACTCGACGTGGAAAGATCTTCGATAAGCTTCTTTTTTGTGAGTTGAGATGTCTTGAGTATGCTTCTATAATTATCCCATCTCCATTGCTTTTTGCTAGGTAGCCAAGCACACTACTACACCAAGACTGGACAGCATCCAGAATTCCATAGATGGCTCTGGACTGCTGCGTTGCGTTACCATCATATTACGCATATCGAGAATGGACAACACAACCTCGACATGGGTGACCCTCCATTGTCTTGGCCAAACACCTGCTAGTATCAATGCACCGTCCGGCCTTGTTTTCGTTGCTGACGACAACCACCAAGCGAGGACAAAAGGCAGGCCATCCAATATGGGTTTCTACTGCAGTCATGTGCGTTTCAGCCATTGACTTAAGCCAGTATCGAATATCCAAGTTTTTTATGCATTTAGACTTTTCGTGACTGCGGACAAGTCCAGTTACACGCGGCAAGCCTGCTTATGTATGTCGTTGGGCATCTATCCTTGAATCTGATCAGTCCTGTTCTGGTTCGCTATTCTCTGCCCACTTATAAACAAAAACAAGGATTGTGCCCGTGCTTGCAAGCGAAGAGCATGAGCCCTTTATTGTTTGCCAAGTACCAGTACCCTCGTATACCGCTCTTTATCGACCCGCAATATTCGGTATCAACGATTGATGTTTCATGACTGACCCTGGAACTCTATGGAATCGTGGCGCCGGAATACCCTGCCGAGATCTCAACGTTCATGGTCCCGCATACCTTGTCGATGATTTTCAGCTTCCATAGACAGTTATTTTTCCAAGAACATGGTCTAGATGTTGGCTTAGTCAACTCCAAGACTGTCTAAGTTCGTATCCTATCCCTTAAACTGAAGGGCAAGCTAACGAGCCCGAAAGCCGTGGATAACTTGGCCATGAGTACGGATACCTTAGTAGCCAGGTGCTGTTCTTCTGCCACCGGCCTTGGGATACTTACCCTGTAACAAATGCAATTGGGGTAAGCATTGTATCGAAAACGCATAGATTAATCCAAATCGACGTTAGAAATTACCGTCATAACATGCTAGTGTATTGGTAACTTTATAGAAAGCATAATAGCAAATACTCTACGTATTTGTGTGGTAAGATGGCTATGATGGTCAGGTTGTTGAAGCGATATGAACAATTTCGCAAACAAAAATGAATCTCGGGCTCCCCGCGTGCCTGTCCGGAATCACATTACATAGTAATATCATATTTGTATTATTTTCTCTCGACCTAAGCTGTATCAGTTGCATGGCCAGTGAAGGGCACTTTTAATCGAGCCATGCCTGGAGACTGAGTTGAGTCCTGGTCGATATTCCACAGTGCCGAGAGTCTCTGCAAGATTATCGACTTTCGATGCCAAAACGGCGTAAATACTTGGATATTATCTTGAAGGTCGTGGAAAGACCGAAACTTGCTTTGATATACTTTGTATAGACTTTTGACATGTTTTGAATGGCTTGGTATCTGAACCGGGGAATATTAGCAGTCTAACTACCACCTCTAGATTGCTTTGAGGGACAAAGTTATCATCACTTGGAGAGAGTATTGCCTACTCGCTTGCGGCGAGCAACTCTCTAGAGAACCCTCGTACGCATGTCTTTCGATTGGATGGGTATCAGAACATCTTTTTGAATACAGTATCTTTAGAGGTTAGCCCCAGATGCTTCGACCTCTTTGTAATCACCACCATGTCTCAAAGGAGGACAAAGGAAGTTCTTGGTACTCCGTATGGGTTCTCAATTTGACTTTACAAGCTGCTGACTGTCTTTCTTGCTCTGCCTGAGCATACCCTTTCTTTAGTGTTGTACCTTGTGACTCCTTCAGAGGCTTTGTCCTTAGTCTTCCAAGGCAACGCAATCAGCAGTCAAGTCACGAGGCCAGCACGGCCATCGATGATCACCAGTCTTTGTCCCACAAGATCGGACGCTCTGTATCACTATGCACTGTAACATCAAAGAAACCATGAGGAAAACCGATGATTCAAGCCAAGGTCAATTTATCCCCAAATCCTCCAAATCCAAATAGGTATCGAAAGCGGATTGCTCCTCAAGAAATGTAACTATGGTATGCAAAATGCCAGCCAGTTATGTGTCCCAGCTTCAATCTTCCTCCAATGAATGCGCCCCATAAATGCAAGCCAAAGTCAGACAAATAGATATCCTCCTTGGACCAGCCATTAGCCTTGATCCACCACTCCCTCCATGCTAGCCAACGCCGCCTATGCAGATGCAACCTCCGGTGATGCTATAAGAAATCAATACGCAAGAGATGTAGACCTAAACGCCTAGTTATGCATTATCCATCCATTCTCCCTTAGACTTCCTGCGCAGGCAAGACGAAGCGAACCTTCTTGTTCGACTTGGCCTTCTTCCCCTTGCGCCTCTTACTCTCAGCCTCATCATCGCTGGTGTCACTGCGAGCACCAACACTGCTTCCAACCTCACTCATCATCTCCTCCTCGGTCTCCTCCTCAATAGACCACACATCTGGGCTTGGCTCCCGCCATAGTTGTCCTGGGCGGCGTGTTGCTGAGTGTCCTCGGGAGCTGGCTCCGTGGCGTCCACGCCCCCTGGATCGGCCACGTAGCTTTGGGCTGCTTGAGAGGGCAGTAGGTGAGAGGAGAGAGTTGTTGGTCGACTGGTTGAAAGCAGGGCTCTTGGGTCGGACTGGTGGTCGGCTGTTGGCAAAGAGGTCCCTGAGAGAGAGGAGTCCTCCATGCTTGCTGGGTGAGAAGCTGACATAGTCCTCATCGTCGTCATCATAATCATCCTCATTGTTGGACTCTGAGATTTCAGAGCTAGTATCAGGTGACATGGGACGCAGGCCAGGCTTGCGTAGTCCATCGAGTGTTGATGGACTTACACTACGAACAAAGGGCCGAGGAGAACTGGCATCCTCAATACCCGCATCAAAGCCTAGCAAGACGTCGTCCATATCATCGACGTCAAGAAGAGGCGCTGGTGTGAGAAAGTAGGTAAGAGGATCATCATCGATATCATCAAGAGATGGAAGTGGCCGGTTCTTGGTAGAGATGGTAGGCTTGAGGCGCATCTGGGTAGGTGGCCAAGAGTCTCGACGAGACCGCATCTCAGACTCGGTCGGCATAGTGGAGATTCGTAAGAATGAATTTCGAGTTAAGTAAAGTATAGTAAAGTAAAGTGAAGTTGATATGATCAAAGGGTCTACTGAGGCCTGCGAGGTATATATGTATGCAGGGACCTCTTCGTAAGTGAAGTGGGTGGGTGCTAGAAAGCTTCACCGCGATTTGGTGTTTAAAAACAGGTATGAACCAGGCGAAACAAAGACCGGTTGTCTTAAGGCTGGGAAGTGGATGCCCTGACGTCTTTTCCATGGAAGACCCTTTGGAGTCACTCACCGCAGGCAGAAGAGTTTCTTTGTGCTTTATGTGAGAGGACTGAACAGAACACGAAGAAGGCCGACGGTATAGGACTCAGAGAGGCAATACAATGAAAGGGCGAGCACGCCTCAACTATATACCAGTTAGTCAGTCAGCCAGATAAACAAGCCTCCCGACGAGCTCACATTCCAATTCATAGCCTACTGCACACATACTACCTGAGACACAGGCATCAGCCGTGTGGTACCTTTCAAGGCATCGAAATGGGGCCAGGGAAGAAAGGGCTGCAAGAACCCACACCCAAAACAGGGCTGTATCTCACAAAAGCGGTCCATCTCCCAGTCATATCATGGAATTCTTGTAAACCCCGAGGGCCTTGTGAGTGGTAGGCAGAGGACTCTGAGCACTGTGGGTGGTCATCGGCCTCCAATAGGCGGGGCTGCCTATCTTCGCACGTGAAGCTATTCAGCCAAGATGAATACGAACCTGTAGAGTCTCGCGCTCACGACGCCACGCGGCCCGTCGATAGGATAATCGGGAGGCGCCGGGTCTGAAAATGGAAGTCATGGGTTGAGTTAGCGGGTTGATAATCAAGAGAAACGAGCTGAGAGAAGTTGGTGGCTGACGATAAATCAGCTCTTTGGGCTGCAATATTGGATGCCACGGGCTCGAGTTGGTAGTGATAAACAGGTTCAAATGCACATAGGGTCCACGGTCTAGCGCTGCAGCCGCCAG